TCATGACCATGTTCATCACCACTAACAGGTTCTACACATTTCTTTGTGAGGCCGTCAACATTCACATAGACCTCATCGTCCTCTTCGTCCTCTTCATCATCAGTGTATGCCTTCCTCTGTGTGAGGACCACTGAAACAGAAGCAAGCAGAGGAAGCGTTAAAGCCTTTCTCCCAGTCCGTGACCATGAAAAACTCCATGTCCTGGGGAACACTGACTCTGATTTTGGTCGGGAGGAAAAGTCCGCTTGGCGCTTGTTCTTCTGCGGACCAGACAGACCACTAACAAGACCAGCAGGAGCAGCAGGAGCGTTCCACCGGACCCTGGGGCCACCCGCAGCAGCAGAGGCACTGGGAGAGACAACAGCACATGGCTTTAGCAGCAACCACACGGAGCCCCAGCTGCCCACTGGGGCAGGCGCTCCAGAGCATCCAGTCTGCATCACCAGGAAGTGAGTCTCAGACTCTGTGGCTCGTCTGCTTCTCAGGAACTCACAATGAGGAACTTTTCACTAGAGTCTCTCTTTTCTTCCACCTGAAAACTCCACCCTATAATGTTTTTGATATATACTGTCAAACATTGTAGTGCAGAAATGAGAAATGTTATCTGAGTGAGTCTCCTGCTGCAGTGATGGTGAGGAAAGCATCCCACAACGGGACAGCTGACAAAACCCATCTACTCCAGACTTTATTTTCCATGATCTGGACCTGTGTTTTTGTTCTCTGAGAGGTGTCATTCACTTGTTTCCAGCCTCGGAGTGCATATAAAGTGAACTTAAACTTGTGAATTCTTTCCTCTTACTTCCTTTTATCTCATTTACTTCTTATACTCTTATCAGCCGCAGCAGTCAGCCACTTTGAGATCATTTACATACCACAAAGTAGCTTCTGCTTGTCCAGTTTCCTCTTTTTAATAAGTACAGAACGTTCTCAGTAGCCTGAATGAAAGCTTTAATTCCAGGAAGACAATAAACAGCTCTCTTGTTTCGACCTATGACTGACTGAAGGATCTGGGTAATGATGCAGGGATTCAGCCGTTAGGGAAGTCGGAGCTTGTTTTTACTGTTTTAAGTCATCTGATATCAGATAGCTTTTCTTAACCTTTCAAATCTGCAGAAAGATGCTAAATTATAACTCATAGACAAGATCCATGTCGTGATTCATTTATGTCTCAGAATGGTCTGGACTTACATTCAATGAGCACAGTCAGTGCTTCTGACTCAGTGGAATTGAAGCTCTGAGCAGACAGGCTGAGCTCATGCACGCAGCTGTAGTCGCCCTGGTGCTCAAACCCAGCCACAGGGAAGTGAAATGAGGCTGAGTTGTTGACTGCCGGCTTGGTGTCCACGATGTCGGAGCCGGAAAACAGCAGGAAGAAACGGCCCTGAGGATAGCTGGAGTTAATGGAGCAGGAGAGGGAAAAGCTGGAGCCCCTGGTAACCACGGCACCCTCAGGACTCCAGGACAGCCGTTCAGGAGGGGAAGTCAAGGAGATGCTGGGCCTCTGCTGCCTCACTGTGAGATGAAGAGGCCACAGGTGAAGAAAACCCAAACCTCCTCCACTGATAAACACCTCTACAGATCTTTTACAGCAGGTCTCTGCTGTGTTTTCCTGGAAGAGGCTGTTCAAGGAGGCATTTCAACAGTTTGGCACAGGGAAGGTCAAAAGTGGGAGAAGGAGCACGAGGAGCTCCCACAACAGCAAAGGCTGAAGGGGAAAGCCGAAAAGCTGTTGGAAGTGAAGGCACGTTTGGTTCAAAGGGGCCCCAAAATGGAGGAGTGGTTCCATGAGAGCCCAGAGAAAAAGATGTCTGCTGAAGCTAATCCAGCTGTGCTTCAGTAATCCTACTGACTGCCATTGGTGATTCCTCTCCCACTTTTGTTGATCTTATCTGATTCTGGGCTTCATCTCAGCAGCCAATGTTCATGACTCGTGTTAAGGGTGGTGCTGCCTTCTTCCTGTCATCTTTTGGTTCTTTTGTGTTTTTTGTTTTTTTTGCCTTCGAGATCAAAGCGTTTATCAGAGTTATGGAAAAGCAGTAGCATGAGAAGAAGCCGTGACTGCACCATGTGGTTGGTGTGAGCTTTGCTGCCTTCGACACCCAAAAAGCAGGTTCTGCTTCCTCTTTTAAAGATTGAAGACTGATTCTTTTCCTTATCTTAAAACCTTGTTTTTACATATTTCATAATGGTCCTATTCAAATAATGGTGATAAAATACAGAATTTTAATCTTAATTTATTGTCTAGTGTCTTTATTTTGTCCTTTTCCCCATTCAGCTCATGCCAATGTTGATTTCTTTGGTTTACACTGAAAATCTTTCTCTGTATTACCTTCACTCATATTAACAGAAATTCCCTGGTATTTTTTTTTCCTGAAGTTCAGTAACACTATGTGGCAACCTTAGTTCCTTCCCCTTTTCTACCGAGCCTAACCACACTCACACTGAAAGCTGTCTTTTAAGGCAACATGAAGTCTTTTTTGTTCATAATTTATAACGCTAACTATTTGTAATTCCTTCAAAACATTACAGAGTTTTTTTTTGTGGACGCTTAATGTTCTGACCAAAACCATCTGACTTAAGTGTCTACTAGATTTATTCTGAGAAGGTAACGTTCACCCTTAGCTTTAGTTAGTCATAGCGTGAAGTATTTTTGCCAGCAAATGTTTGACAAATCTCCATTTTTAGGTCCAGCCTGTGCACCAAAGTGCTGTGCAGGTTCATGGAGATGCTGGGCTTTGGGAGACCTTTATAGCAGATATCAGCTGTGTTTTCCTGGAACAGGCTGTACTTTTTTCCATTAAACTGTTGCCCCGAGAATCAACATAGAAATCTTTTTACTTACCTGTAATGTTAAGAGTGACCGGATTGCTGACAGGGGAGAAGAAAGGTTCCATTGATAGCGTTTTGGCATACCGACACTGATACGATCCGCTCTGGGAAAAGTTCACTTTGGGGATGACAAAGGTCGTAGAGAAAGACTTTGCACTTTGAGCCATACTGAAAGAATCTGCGCTGTTTTGGAGAAAAAAGCGTCCACCTGAGAGTCCATCTATGGTTGTACAAGTGAGGTGGACATCATCTCCCCATGAAACCTCACCAGCAGGTTCCATGGAGATACTGGGATTTGGAAAGCTGGCTGAAAAGCAAAAGTTCTCAAGTTAAAAAACACATTTTAAATAAATCTCCTTCTACTAATAACTAACTGTGAGCCCGGTGGCAGTATAGGACTTTAACAAGTTTAAAATAATGTGCATGTAGACACGTGAGCCTCCTGCTTTTTTATCCATGACAGCTGGGAGAGACTGCAGCTCCCTGTGACACTGTAGTTGATTAAACTGGAGAATAAAACTAATGGGAGGACACTCAGACGGGGGCGTTCTTCTAAGACAGTTCTGACAGAATGTAAAACTGTTTTTTTACACATTATCTGTCTGTCTGTTTGTCTGTCGAAATAACTATACTTGAAATATTACACCACTTTTATCAGATTAATAAAACTACATATTGAAAAATACACATAATGCCATTTTTGTCTGCAGATCAGACTGGAAAACATCAGATAAGTTTAAAATTGTTTATAAAACTGTAGTGATCGACTAATTATGTCCTGTGTTTTGGAAAACTTGAAAAAGCCCTGTCATCTAGATCAGAAAGTTTTTTTTTAATATAGACTAAATTTATCCAAGTTTTCTCACCTGAACAGACGACACCAGCATCCTCTCCATGTCCACAGTTGTGTTTCCCAAATCCTGGATGCTGACACTCAGTCAGAGACCTTTCTCTGCCTGAACAATTCACCTTATTTAGCCAAATGTGTCCAGTTCCTTCACCAAAGTCTGCTGCATGAGGAGCACTGACAGATCTACCACAGTCCAACTGTCTACAAACCACGTCGGCATCATTCACATCCCATCCGTCACCACAGACTGTTCCCCAGGTTGTGTTGTGATAGACTTCAACCCTTCCAGCGCATCGGGTTGATCCAGCTCCAGTTAATCTGAGAAGAGGGCCTGCTCATTCATTAAAAAAAGATCATAAGTATTATTTCTGACTGGGATCATTGTTAGAGATTTGCACACAAACTTTGCAAAACTAACTGTAAACTTATTTTGTCACATCACATCTCTTTAATATCCGGGATTTCTAAACAGGTTAGGAAAGTGCACCTATCAACTGATGGTCTCCCTCGTGCCAAAAACAAACCTTCCTGATAAAGGACCTCCTGACAGCTGCCCTTCTACTGAGACTCATTTTAAGGGGTCTAGGAGATGCATTCTCAAGCCTGCCAATCTTTTTAACGTCCAAATGCTCAGATTCCTCCCGTTTGTGCAGACACACACAGCAGTTATGAGATAATCAGATTGTTGGATAAAAACATCTTTTCATGCCTGCCAAATGTTGCTATCCTTGAATTTTTCATGAAGGAAAATGAAGTTATCGTAA